AGGAGAGACGGTGGAAGAGAGGAAGAGAAGAAGAGAGTCGAGAGGACGGAAGTATGTCTGGCGGGCGTCCGATTATTAAGATAAAGAAGGTGTGATTTCCACCGTGGTTTCCTGTTGACTCTCATTGACGGAGAGCCATGACTGTAGTTGAAGATTGCTATAATGGATGTGTGGCGGAGGATGGAAGGGATGGCGTTCAAGTATGTGGGTAAGTTAAGATGTGGTTTCAATTGTGTAATAAATTAAAGAGCAGGCTTTTAAATTACTGATACTATTTAACTAAAAAAATATAAATTCAAACAACTTAATATAGTTTGTGACGGTGGAAAAGAGGATGAGCTTGTCCAGTCAAGCAAACCAGTCTGCCATGGCGCAGGTCAAGATTAAGAGGAGGAGAGACGGTGGAAAGGAGGAAGAGAAGAGAGTCAAGAGGAAGGATCGCTGCAATCGATCTAGGGTGGGCAATGGACTTACACCGTGGTTTCCTCCTATATTGCAAATTAAGGTACTATTTTAGTTTTTTAACATTACAAATATTAATTAGTTAAGAAAAATCATAATTCAAACTAATTAATATATTCTGTAATTTAAATTGATTAAATAGAGTTGATATTATTTAATTATTAAACTAAAAATAATGATTAATTAGAATTTTATTTCAACTAACAAAAATTTAATTAATTAATAAATAGATATAAAAAATTAAAGTTGAAAAAAATAAAATTTCAAAAAATTGTGCCCATATTTCAAATGAGCACTCCAAGTTAATTTGGCAAAATCTTAAAAAATAATTTATTTTTTTTACAACGAAAATGAACCAACATGAATCTCGAGGAGATTAAATAGTCTAAAATAATAATAAAAAAAATACAACAAGGAAGAGACCACGAATGGAAGACCAAAGGGCTCGCCTTCTTGACTAGATACAGCCTCCTTAACTATAGAGTTGAAGGCCGACTGAGTGCATGCCGCCCGACCCAAGGACAAAGGCCCACCCAGCCATGACGACATAATGAGTGATCCTTGTCTGATCCCATCAGACTATGGTGAAACAAACAAGCATTTGAATTAGCCATCACCAAAAAGCCGTGCAAAGGCATTGACCTCCCCATCGCATATTAGCAATGTGATTGATTCTATTATCACAATGCTAATCACCAAATGACTTGTCACGAATAATTTATGATTGTAATCTTTTTTCGATTGTTTCTCTTGTTGTAATGTTGGTCATTAAGAGACTCGTCAAAAATAATTTATGACAATGATCTCCGATCACAAAAAAATGTGTATATTTATATAGTATTTGTTTTAGATCCTTCTTGAATTTGTAACAGCTGAAATCATGATAGTTGTTCATCATTACATCCCAGATTCAACTTAAATGTTTTGTAAAAAAATACGAGTATAATTTTCATATATGCAATATATTTTATTTCTATGTTTTAACATAACAATTGCCTAATTACAAGATGAATTTAAAATCGAATATCTTTTATATCATAATTGCTCTATATTACTTTTTGATTTGCTCTTTACTTATCCTAATTGTTAGATTTTTTGTACAAGGACTGAAATGAATTACAATTATAGATTATCTTTTCAAGTAAACATTTATTGTTGTTGTTAAACTTCAACAAATTAACTTTATTTTAAGAAAAAAATGCTATTAGCATATGACAAATGAATCCACATTGAAAAAAAAACTAAATGCTTGATATTGTTGGTTATAACTTATTTGGTGCCAACAAATGATATTTAGGCTCTGTTTGGCGCAGCTTCGTGGAAGATGTTGTAGGGAAGCTGGCTGTCTGTTTGTTGCAGCTTTGTGAAAACAGTTGTGGGGCGGACAGTTGTTTTTGGAAAAACAAAAATCATGTCCATATATAATGTTTATATATATAACAGAAGATAAAATATTTTTAATATTAAACAAATTATTTTCTGAAACAATAAATTAACATTAATTAAAAATTAATTATTTTTTTTAATTTACAATATTTATATTTTTATCAAAAAATTTAAATTTTAAAAATATGTTTATAAAATAACTAATTAATCATTAAATAATAGTATATAATTTTATCTAATAACTTTGAAAATATAGTTAAGGAGGTTACGAAATAATTTATATGATTAATTTGAAAATATAGGAATTAATCATTATTATTTAATAAAATAAATCAATAAAATTAAATCAAATATATTTACATATCTAACACCTAAACTTTTCTTTTTTTATTTTTTTTTACATTCATACCACTAAAAGCTTTCATATCATATAAAATATATATGATGGTACTGAGTGATATGTTTGCACATCTTCATTATTTTCTTAAAAGAATTGAAGGAATCAAGCTATCAACGAACATATTCGTGTCAGTTGTAGCGAACTTATTCGTGGCGGTTGCAGGCAAGGCAATGAATTGGAGCCGTGAATACATGAGGTGCCAAAATATCATAATTGTCTAATCTGGTGCCAAAATAAATGAGGACTAAATTTAATACTATTAAGGCAAGAAATCACTTAAAAATAATATATAATTACAGATACACACCTCACCTCACAGTGAGTATCAAGAGTGCAAAAAAAAATCTAAAACTATTAAGAAATTTTTAGATACATACCACTCAATTGCTATGAATTTACAAATCTAACACCTGATATATAAATACAAAGGAATTGGGTGGTATATATTTAAGAGCTTAATGACTGATATAAAAATTTACTCCAATATTCTAACAGGCGCGAAAACTAGTTACTAATGCCTAAATATTCGGTACCACATCCTCCATTGGATTCATACCCATTCATCAAAATCTAACACCTCATACAACTTAACGTTATTTTAATAATGTTGCTGAATAAAGCTTTTGATGCTTTCAAAATTCAGGACAGAAGAAAGTATAAAGTAAATAAAAGAAAGAAATACTCTCTCTGAATTACTGATATTGGAAGATTATATAGAAATGCAAAACGAAGTTCTAACCATCGTCAATTTCCCAAGAGGACCAAATAATACATAAAATACAGTTTATGTGAAAGCTTCTCAAGTTGAATAATGGGGTAAAGCAAGTCAATAATGCTACAAACTCAGAAGTAAAGAAAGCTTCTACCATCACCTTCCAAGAGCAGTTATTAAAAAGAGAACTGTTGAAGAATGAATAACAAATAATT